GAGAGAGAGAGAGAGAGAGAGAGAGAGAGAGAGAGAGAGAGAGAGAGAGAGAGAGAGAGATGCAAGCTTCGGCCTGCCAAATTTGATGCATGAGAACCCAACATTGCCCCGCTTTACATCTCCCTTTTCCTCTCTTGCACACATGTATCCAAAATGGTATCGTGGCTCAGCTTACTGACGATTATCATTGAATTATAACTACTTATTTGTCATTTATTCATACCACACTGACATTGTGAAAAAGGAAAAATTGTAATTGCAGGATTTATCTACGACCATCTAGCACTGGGGAATCAAATTATTAAACCTTTCTTTCGTTTTTTGTTTTTTGTTTTTTGTTTTCCTTCTTAGGTAGGATCTCAGCTATAAGAGGCAGATGTTTTAGGATGCTCAAGGGTTAAGGTCTTAGAGGGCTAGAGGGGTAGAGGTTTTAGAGGGTCAGGGTTTAAGGTACTGATGGATTTGGACAGGGCTTAAGGATTAGAGCACTTGAGTCTTAGGGCCTGGAGGTTTTGCGTTTAGAGCATTAGGGTTTATGGTTTAGTATTTCGAGGGTTTAAGGGTTTACAGGGTTAAGAGTTTAGGGTTCAGGGTTTATGGTTTAGTATTTCGAGGGGTTAAGGGTTTAGAGGGGTAAGAGTTTAGGGTTCAACATTTTGGAGCTCTAGAGGGTTAGGGTTCAGGTTTAGATCCTTAGAGGACTTAGGGTTTAGGTCTTATAGGGTCTAGTGTTTATGGCTTAGTTTTTATGGTCTAGTTTTTATGGTTTAGGATTTAGAGGGTTTAGGGTTGAGATCATGGGGTTTCTGGTTTAGGGTTTTGAGTTGTAAGGGTTAGGGTTAGGGCTTACGACCATTGATCCCTCTTTGTCATGAAATCCAACCATCATGTCTTTAAGATGATGGGAATGGGGTCACATGTCTCACAATTTACGATCGTCCGCATGTCTAGACTTGGATGAAGAGTATTCATCGGTACCGTTCAAGGAATTTGGTATATCCGCAATCTTCCACGGAATCGAACCGGTGGTCTCAAGCACGACAACTGGATGTGGGATAATGATTAACTTACCCTGCTGACATGGATGGCAATCATTGTCCAAAACTCCTGCCATCGATCTCGAGCGCACTCTCCACTAATTGTGCACTATAAGTCAATCCTCATCCAGTCATGATGATTCAATCACAATCCAATCATATGATGCAATCAATGATCAAATCATATGATCCGATCATATGACCCAATCATATGATCCAATCAATGACATATGATCCAATCATCATCAGTCATCCAGATCCAATCACAATCAAATCATAATGCAATCGTATGATCCAGTCAATGATCCAATCATCATCCAGTCATGACGATCCCATCATATAATTCAATCGTGAGAGAGAGACCATACAAGACCATGCAGCCACACACATGCATTAACGGCGACGCAATCAAAGACCATGAAGCCACACATGCAAAAGCATGCAAAAGCATGACAACAATAGCCATGGCATATGAAAAGTTGCCACGATAGTCGAGTTGAAAAATATCCGAGACACAAACTCGAAGGCGTTGCGAAAAGATCACTTGCCACCGCCGACATACCACACACCCAAGAACCATGGTTCAAACCAAAAGGCTTGTCAGTGAATGGACTCACGCGTGACTCACATTGCCGCTCATAGACACCTAAAGTTGCCAATCATTGTCCAAAGTTGAGGTTTTCCACATCAAAGAACCAATCATTGACCCTATCATCATCCCATCATGTGAGCCAATCATATGATCCAATCATCATCCAATCATCGTTCAATCATCATTCAGTCATCATTCAATCATCATCCAATCATCATCCAATCATCATCCAATCATCATCCAATCATCATCCAATCATCATCCAAAGCTGACAATCATTCATTCATTGTCCAAAGTTGGGGTTTTCCACTTGCCAATGATCTCACTCGCGACGGGTGGGCGAAGAATCATGGATGATGACCTGGCTTGGTCTTGCCCTATCAGCTAGTGCTCTAGGTCCGATGACTGACTTACAAGTGACTAACAATCATGGTCACAAACTCAGTCAAACTGCACCCATGCATGCTGGGGGCGCTAGGCCATGCACACATCCCCTTGTTAAGTTTTATTTATCAATGACTCGGAAGACAATACTTCACTTGGGATTCGTCCATCCCTGAAATATATAAAAATAGACGAAATGCGAAAATTTTACTGACTTCAAATTTTCATAAATGAGAGTCGATCAAATTTACTATATGTGTTCCTGATATAGCTGATGTGCACTATCATCTTATAATCCATAATTAAATCCTCTGTCGGCCAATGAATGGGACTAATGAATCAGTGATGGAAAATAGAAAAATAAAATAGTCAATGTAATCACTGATTCACTGGTTTAAAAAAAAAAAAAAAAAAAAAAAAAAACAGTGGTGCATGATTACATAAGGCTAAGGAGAATGTTAAGGCTTTTGAGGTTGAACATAAAAAAAGGGATAGTTCGCAAAATACCCCCACAAGTTTAGAATCTTCGGATATGGGCCAAAATAACCCTGAAAGATATGGGTAGAGCGAAATACCCCTCTGGCAAAAAGAGAAATTTATGAAATACCCCTCTGGTGGGTTGGACCCCCCATCTTTGTGATATACCCCTACGGGGTACCATCCAACTTTGCAAAACACCAGAACTTGGCAACTTTCCTAAGGCCTAGTTGCAAAAGGTCATGCGCAAACGGCGAGGGCTAGATTGCAAATTTGCACACCCGCCTGACAGGGGCATAACACAAAGATTCCGTCCCAAAAGGGCATTCCACTCTACCCACATCTTTCAGGGGAATTTTTGCGTATATCTCAACTTATGTGGGTATTTTGCAAATTATCCCAAAAACAAAAATTATTGTGTACGCAAAGAGGCAAAGGGGAGGAGGCTAGAACATTTGTTCATAACTAGAGATCCTAGGTAGTATAAAAGAAGACCTTGATTTTTTTATACTTTGGGACTATCATTGTTTTTTTTTTTTTTTTGTCTAGTTTAGGTCTTTTTTCCCCTTGGAGAGGAGGGCGTCAAGGGGCAAAAACGCTTTTATTTAGTTTTTTTTTGTCAATAGCATTTCATGCGTTGCAGTAAACATTCACCTGGGCAAAAGTGTTTTTGTTTAGTTTTCGTTGGTCAATAGCATTTCATGCGTTGCAGTAAACATTCACCTGGGCAAAAACGTTTTTGTTTAGTTTTCTTTGGTCAATAGCATTTCATGAGTTGCAGTAAACATTCACCTTTTAGTAAGCGTTCTCAAGGTCATGGGTTTGATTCCTGTTTTGTACAATACGTGAAAGAAATTTGACGATCAGTATGCCGACGAAATAGCCTCTTGTGCATTTGGCAAAATATAAAAGTTGTGTAATTAAAAAGGGAAAAAGGAAAATTTAAAGCTTTGTGTCACTGATAGAATCTTTTGATGGACATCTCTCCACCACGGCCCTCCCCGACCACCCACCCCTTTGGCTTGAAATTTAACACAATTTCGGTTTCGCCCCTGAAAGAGTGCTGACGCCTTTCACTTATGTCCTCTGGGTCATTCATCCTGCCATACCATACCCAAGTTTCATGGCTATAGAAACTAAACTGTACCTAATCCCGTCGGGGCTCCGCTCGAGTCTACCCAAGTTTCTTTCATACTCTGTGGGAGAGGCGGTTAATGGAGACCCTAGTTTTCATACAACTTGTGATGCCATTTATAACAAAATCTAAGGGTCATTTTAACCAAACTTGCCACCAAGTCATAGAGTCATAGACTAGAGACTATAGTTACTAACTGCAAAACAAAAACTGAAAAAAAACAACAACTATAAAACAGCAAGGTAAAAGTGCACTTTCATGCAAATTCCGCCAACATTCAGTTTCAGAAATCTTGAGAAACTTCAGAAGTGCTAGCGAAGGAAATTCCAATGCTCCATATGAGACCAACTTTGGTACACAACAACCTTGAACCAAAAATAAAACAGGCAAAAAAAAAAAAAAAAAAAAAAAAAAAAAATTATGAAACCATAACACAAAGACCTCAAACCATTATTACTGTTGTGGCCCTGATAGTCAAGAGTAGACGAACTTGGTCATTATTGATCACAACATGTTAAAATTGCTTTGCGGTATTCGGGACCTCGGTGTAACCTTAACTTTGCAGCTCCTGCATGTCATAAATGTTCCGCTGCTTATCAGGTAAAGTTGTGAGTCCAATNGTAAAAGTGCACTTTCATGCAAATTCCGCCAACATTCAGTTTCAGAAATCTTGAGAAACTTCAGAAGTGCTAGCGAAGGAAATTCCAATGCTCCAAATGAGACCAACTTTGGTACACAACAACCTTGAACCAAAAAAAAAACAGGCAAAAAAAAAAAAAAAAAAAAAAAACATAAAATTTGACCCTCAAACCCTAATTTCAGTTTTGGACCTGATAGTCAGGAGTTGAAACTGGGGGTCGCCGTTAATCACGCGTGTGAACTTTTTTTTTGCGGTATTCGGGACCTCGGTGTAACCTTAACTTTGCAGCTCCTGCATGTCATAAATGTTCCGCTGCTTATCAGGTAAAGTTGTGAGTCCAATTCCTCCGGCAAAACTGGAACAGGGTTTTCGGGGGCACAACTAAAACTTGCTTCACTTTTCCTTTTCATCGACTTCTTTTCGTTTCATTTTCTTAAACCGCCAATACCTTTCTCATACATCGACCATGGGCAGCTTTTGTACCAGGCCAGCACCGGAGGCTGATTAAGGTCTCCGTGTTAACCGCCACGCCTCAGATTTGCAAGTGGGGAAAGGTACTGGCGGCTTAAAGCCCCAGTACTTCGTCCAACTAATTGATGCCAAGCTTGAATTTGACCTATGGAGCAAAGAAAAATGAACCAACACGAACCTGCTTTTGGCTAGCGCTGCCAACCATTTCGGTTTGGTACCCAAACCCCCAAACGTTGCGATCGTATACGAAACACGCATTATCTTTTAAAGTTGGGTAGGGTACCTGTGGTTTAAACCACCAATACATTTCCCAACTATTTTTCCGAAGACGCTACGTGCATGCTGCCGCGTCTGGTGGGATGTATGAGGGTGATGTTCTGCTGAAAATCAATCCACTAACAACCAAAAGCGGTCACGTGCAAGACCCAATATTCCTGGATGGATTTTCCACCAATGACCCTCCCAGTACATCCCGCCAGACGCGGCAACATGCACGCCTCAAAAAAATGTCTTGAAAACATACTAATAATTTATTTGGCTTGGCATCGGTGGATTGATGTTTCATAATAATTATGTGACTCAAACATGGTCGCTTGTGCGTATTTGTTAAAGAAAGAGGGAAAAAAAAGGTTGTTGGTTTAGCAAATGAAATGGAAAGGAAACTGCTAAAAAAGTGGGGGTTGTTGGGGGGTGATTTTTTTTTCTTCCCCTTACGGTTTTGTTGAGGCTTGAGGTATAGATAGGGCCCTGAACAAGAAACCGAGGCTATCCGTTAAATGAACTTCATAAAGTTTTGATTTCATTTTGTTATTTAGATTAACATCAATGGATTGATATTATACAATTTATACTATACTTTATTAATTTTATTGAAGAAACAAAAAAAGAAAAAAAGTGGTTGGTTTAGCAAATGAAATGGAAAGAATTTTGTTGAAAAAGTGGCGGTGCATGACTTCTTTTGCCCTCGAATCCTCATTTTTTTCCTATGAATGAGTGCTTGCGCTTTATAAAAGTGACAATGTGTATTCTCTTGACCTTGTTTTATGATTTTTTTTTTTTTTTTTTTACCCATAGTTTTATGACTTGAGGAGCGAAACGGAAAAAAAAAAAAAAAAAAAACGACTTGAGGACTAACCACTTGACAATGAGCTTCATGAAAGTAATATTGTGATGCTTTTTATCCTTGTTTTATTTGGAATTTTTTTTTTTCACCTCTTAACGACTCAACGAATAACTACTACTTAAAAAAAAAAAAAAAAAAAAAAAAAAAAAAAAAAACCATGCTTAATGAAGTTAATGTAATTGATAATGTGCTTCATGAAAGTGACAATTTATCTCTTTTTGTCCTTATTTTATTTGAAATTATTTTCCTTTTTTTTTTTCCTACCGGCTTTACGACTTAAAGAATGATTGTTTCTGCTTCATGCCATGGCAGCGTGGATCACGGATATCACGAGTATGCAAGATCAACCGCTCGTTGTTTTTGCGCTCGATCGGAGGTAATCAAAATTCAACATTAAATTGCGGAAAAATGACCCCCTTTGCAACCTCCCAAAAAGTAAACAAAAAAATCAAAATATAGTAATAAAATAAAGCCGAATGATGTAAGGACCAACCCTTATTGTTCTTTTGAGCATGATCGGACCAGTCCACACAGTTTCGAGTCTCGCATGAGGCTGTTATGCGAGATCCGTCTTCGCCAGAATAAAACACCCTGTCATAATAGCTGCATCTGGATAAAAAGTTGCGTTGAATACAACTAGAATGATCGGGCGCTCTATTCAGGTGAAGAAGGTAGGTTTTCTTTCAATAGTATATATCGAATGTATAGTTAGATATAGAAGAATACGATGAAGGACATGATGAGAGGGAAGATGATGATAAAGGTGTTGAGAGGGAGATGACATTGGTCAACTTGTATTTAAAACTGATTTTTTGTTAAATTTGAAATATTTGCTTTGACTACGAAACTGAACAAGGATTTTTTTGCCTCTTTCTGTACGTCATTTTCAAATTTGGTCTTAATAACTTTATTAGTCTTGGTGTTAATACATACCACGTCCAATCAATGACCCCAAGCATCTGAAAGGGTAAAAAGTGTTAAAAAGAAAACTCGTTCAATTTGTTGTGCAACTAAAATATTTGAACTTCAGTTTAGCGACAAAATAGTATTATCTTCGTCTTCTTCTCCTACCGCTCTTCATTTTATTTTCTCTCTTGTTTTATTTCTTCTCCCAGATTCTTGGAACTCTCTCTTCATGAGCTTCTGCATTCCATGTTGACCAAGGATCATAACAATATATGTAATATATATATGTAAACTATATATATTGTATGTATATATATATGTATATTAGGCTACCAGCCGGGGCCGCCCAGGTCACCTTGTTTTCCTAGGCGGCCCGATCGTGCAAGGACCAAGGAAGGTCCCGACACAAAAATAAATAAATAATAACCTAAAAAATATGAAAAACAACTATGTTATGAAGAAAGATAAACTGAACAACGTTTGCCTCAGGGTCATATCTAAATTTTTTACCGATATGGAAATAAAAAATAAATTCAAAAATATTTTTATTATTGTTACCGTTTTTTGGGAAAATCATTGAAATACTCCTAAAAGTTTGCGTATTTCGTCAGAGACCCTTAAAACACAAGGTAGGATGAAATGTCCATAACTTCCACATCTGCCCCCGTCCCTCTATGGCAACTTTGCCATATGCCTTGACGCTGGGCTGCATGGGGTCGTGCATTTTATTTGCCATTTGCAGGGTCCAACGGGTTGAAATGTTCGGGCATATACACAAGTTCTGCAGGGTTCGGTAGAGGTTTATGCAAAAGATCGCAGGCCAAATTGGGGAGTGGGGTATTTCGCGAAGTTTTACTACTGTCTATCATAGCTGCATTTTGCCATACCCATGTCTTTTTGTGATATCTGGCGAAATACTCAAACTTTCAAGGACATTTCAACAATTTTCCCTTATTGTTTTGCCCGGCCGGGTAACTTGCCCTCGACCATTCTGGTAGCCGTGAATATATATGTATATATATATATACAGGGTTGTCAGGCCGAACGTATAGAGGCCCCTAAGTTGACTCCCGAACGTTCGGGCGTTCTAATCCCCGTACGGGGCCGAACCTGAAGGGGTTCGGACCCTGCAAAAAAATATTTTGGCACCAAAATATTATTATTTTTTCCTGAATTTTGTTTTGTCTTTGTAAAGTAAGGTAGTTTCCTCTTTGTTTTGAACGCATTCTGTTTAGCCAACAATAATGAAAAATCGACAAAGATGGTGGTGTCAAAACTTGGTTGCCCACTCACTAATTTATTTTTTTTCTCTTTTTACTTTTTGTTTTTCTTTCAAACTTTACTTGTAGGTTCTCTATTATGTAAGGTACACATATATAAATTTTCATGGCATTTATCAAAGCCAAAAAAAAAAAAAAATCGTCAAAGATGGGGGTATCAAAAACATGCTCGCCCACCCAATAATTTCATTTTCGTTCTATTTTTTTAATTTTCATTATTATTATTTCTGTTTCGTATTTGACTTTTATTTCAAATTTTGTAAAGAATTTGGATGTGATGTGAAGGCAAATGTTCTTCAGTTTAGGGCATCGTTAGACACTCCTCGGGGCATCCTCGGGCTCCGAGGATGAATCCTCAGAAAAGTTTAGGGTTTTTGTCGTCTTCGTTACATTCATCCTAGGAGCGTCGGTTTTAGTTCTCATCCTCGGAGCAATGTCAGAAAAATAAAAGGAAAAAAAAAAGAAAAACAAATTGTGCTTCAGGCTTTCAGCCAATAGGGTTCCGCCACGTCCGAATTCTTGGTTCTAACATCTCTCTACGTGCATGCCCTCTCCTCTCCGTGAAACACGGATCCTCAGGCGCCAAAGGACCTCGCGAGGTCCTTTGGAGCCGAGGACGATTTGGCTGGGAAATCCTCGGAGCCCAAGGATTTGTCCTCGGAGTGTTTTCACATTTTCATTTCCGATTTCATTTCTGAGGACAGGTGGAACGAAGACGAAATCCTTGGAATCACGTCCCCGAGGAGTGTCTAACGACGCCCTTATTCTTCTGCATAACATTTTATTTATTTATTTATTTATTTATTATTTATTTTTTTATTTTTTTTTATTTTTTGGGTCTGCGTTCGGCCGAAGGTGTCGAGAGGGGTCCCGAACGTTCGGGCGTTTGGGTTCGGGCGTTCGGCCCGTCCCGAACGCCAACAACCCTGTATATATATATACATAGATACATCATACATATATATATAAAATATATGTGTATACAAGGTTACTAGCCCGTACGTACGGAGGCCCCCGGGCCAACCTCCGTACGTTCGGGCGTTCGGGGTCACGTTCGGGGGCCGAACCCCTCCGAACCTGAAGAGGTTCGGCCCCCGCCAAAAATTATTTCGGGGCCTAAAAATTATTATTGTTTCTTGAAAAGTTTTTTGTGAGTTCTCTATGATGTGAGGTACATGCCTCTAAATTTTGAGATAATTTGCTTATCCAAAAAAAAATGAAAAATCGCCAAAGATGGCAGTGTCAAAACGTCCTCACCCGCTCACTATTTTGTTTTTTTTCTCTTTTCTCTTTTTGTTTTCACTTTGTTTCGGGGCCTAAACAATTTTTTTATTTTTTTATGTTTTTTTAATGAGTTTTGTATCATGTGAGATACACACCTATGAATTTTCAGGGAATTTCACTGATCCAAAAAAAAACAAAAAATCTTCAAAGATGGAGGTGTTTAAAACGTGCCCGCCTGCACACTGATTATAATTCTCTCTTGAGTCTCTTCAAATTTTTTGTTTCTATTATTATTTCTTATTTTTTGTTATTTATTTTTAATTCGAATTTGGTATCGAATTTGGAGGTAACTCTGAGGAAAATGTTGTTCAGTTTGTCTGTCTGCATAACATATAGTTTTTTCAGATTTTTTGGACAACTTTTTTTTTTTTTTTTTTTGTCCGCGTTTGGTTCGAACGGTCGAACGCATCCCTGAGGGGTCCCATACGAAAGGGCGTTC